GGCACCTATAGTCCCAGCTACTTGGGAGGCTGAGGCAAGAGAATCGCTTAAGCCCAAGAGTTTGAGGTTGCTGTGAGCTGTCACAGCACAGCACTCTACTAAGAGTGACATAATGAGACTCTGTCTCAAAAGAAAATAATAATAATAATAATAATAAAGCTAGTATGGCAGCCTAGCATTCTGGGAGGCAGAGGTAGCAGGATCCCTTGAGCTCAGGAGTCCAAGACCAACCTGGGCAAGAGTGAGATCCCAGCTCTACGAAAAATAGAAAATTAGCCAGGCATTATGGTGGGTACTCAGGAGGCCGGAGGATTGCATGAGCCCAGGAGACAGAGTGATATACCTCGGCAGTCTGCAGCACTTAGCAAGCAGCTATGAACAATATGCCAGGTAGAAGGAACATGCCTTAGGCCCAGAGTGGAGTAAAAACCAAGAGCACCTCACTTACTCAAAGGCTCCCTTATCTAGAAGCCTAGGCCATCTGTCCAGTTAGACATCTCAGTTTAAAGGGTAACAACTCCAAACTATGCCCAGAGTACAGAAAAAATCTGAGATGCTGACATCACTACAGCATGTTTTTAGTTTGTTTGTTTTTTTGTTTTTTGAGATAGTCTCACTTCTCACTATGTCGCCCTTGGTAAGAGTGCTGTGTCACAGCTCAGAGCAATCTCAAACTCTTGGGCTCAAGCGATCCTCTTGCCTCAGGCTCCCAAGTAGCTGGGACTACAGGTGCCCACCACAATGCCTGGCTATTTTTTGTTGCAGTTGTCATTGCTGTTTAGCTGGGCTGGGCTGGGCTGGATTTGAACCCGCCAGCCTCAGTGTATATGGCTGGCACTGTAACCACTGTGCTATAGGCGCAGAGCCCCCAGCTATTTTTAGAGATGAGGTCTCCACCTGGCTCAGGCTGGTCTTGAACCCATGAGCTCAGGCAATCTACCTGCCTTGGCCTCCCAAGTGCTAGGATTACAGGCGTGAACCACTGTACCCAGCCTAGAGCTTGTTAATGAAACCAGAGAGACTAGGGTTTAAGTTCTTATGTTCTAGGCCAGTTTATACTCATGTGACCTTGGGCAAGTCACTTAGTATCTCTGAGTCTCATCTATAAAGTAGAGATGGTATCAGCAATATCTCATACAGTCATTTTGAGGAATGAATGAGACCCCACAGAGACATCCTTAAATCAGGGCCTGGCCCAACGGCAGCCCTCATATTCTGTTACTTAGGGAGGCACAGGTATCAGCTGCCCTGTGCTTACTAGCTGAGTGTAATTCTGAATAAGTTACTTCCACTCTGGCTGCCCATTTCCTAACTATAAAGTAGAGAGAAAGAAGGTGCCTACTTCAAGGACGGAAATAAAGCCTCAGGACTTGTTCTTCTAAAACTTAGTTCAGCACCTGGCAGGAAGTAAGAGCCTGGTGAAGGCCAGCTGGTGCCATCACTGGCTCTATTGTTCTTTGGGTGGAGAAAAGCAAGGCCTAAAAGTGGGACAGAGGTAGCAGGGCGGCACACCACCACACCAACCTGCTCCTTACCGTCTGCTGCTGCTCAGCCCAGTTCACCTCGAAGCCATCAAAGGCATGGCTCTGCCAATTCTTGTTCAGCTCTCGGATGACCATGGCCTCCACACGCCGAAGAAAGGCTGCCAGGCGGGGGGTGTCGTGACGGGGCAGAGGCAGCATGCTGACTGGCATGGGGGCCTCCGTCTGTACCTGAGCATCGGCATGACTCTGGGCCTGGGTGGACGCTTCAGTGGTGGCGATGCTGGCCGTCTGGCAACTTTTCTGGGGTGGAGATCAAAACTAGTGTGACCACTCCACTGGACTCCCAGCATCACTTGCCCAGCACCTCCCGCCCCACTATACAACCCACTTCCTGCTGCTGCAGACCCCAGGCCACCAGGTCTCTGTCCACTGGGTCTGCCCTAAGGTTGCTCCTCCTCCTCTACCCAGCCTGTCTTCCTCAGCAGGAACTCACTATGTGAGGTTTGGGTTGGAGATGACCACACAGGCCTCCTATGGCGCACTGGGGGGGTTGCATGACCTCTAGGTAGCCAATCAGAGCACTGTATCCCTCCCCCAGCCACAATGACTGGTATAAGGGTAGCTACATGACCCAAGCAAGCCAGAGAGCGCCTGTCAACGAACTTCTAGCTGAACTATTCAGAGGGGACATTCCTGGAGATGCTGAAAGCTATCAAAATTGTGCTGGCTTGAGCTAGGCATGGTGGCACATGCCTATAATACCAGCAACTCAGGAGGCCAAGGCAGAAGGATCACTTATGAACAGAAGACAAATTTGGGCAGCATAGTGAGACCCTGACTCTACAAAAAAATTAAAAATTACCCACGTGTGGTGGTGCACACTTTTAATCCCAGCTTTTAAGAAGGCTGAGGTAGGAGGATCACTTGAGCCCAGGAGCTCGAGGCTGCGATGAGCTATGATCACACCACTGCAGTCCAGCCTAGGCAATAGAGCAAGACCTTACCTCTAAAGAGACTCGCTTGAGGCCAGGAGTTTAAGATCCGCCTGGGCAACACAGAGAGACCCCATCTCTACCAAAAATAGAAAACCTAGCCAGGCATGGTGGTACACATCTATGAGGCAAGAAAATCATTTGAGCTCAACAGTTTGAGATTGCAGTAAGCTATGGTGACACCTCTAAACTCCAAACTAGGTGACAGAGCAAGACACTGTCTCTTAAAAAGAAAAAAAGTTTACCTATTGAGCATCTGCTTTCCAGGCAGCATCTGGGAATCAGGATAGGATATAGCAGAAAAGAAAGTATGCAAGATCCCTGAACCCTAGGCACTCACATGGGGTGGGGAAAGACAAAGAAAAGCCCATCAGGGCAGCGCCTGTCACTCAATGGGCAGGGCACCAACCCCATATACTGAGAGTGGCGGGTTCAAACCCGGCCCCAGCCAAACTGCAACAAAAATATAGCCGGGCATTGTGGTGGGCACCTGTAGTCCCACCTACTCGGGAGGCTGAGGCAAGAGAATCACCTAAGCCCAGGAGTTGGGGTTGCTGTGAACTGTGACACCACAGCACTCTACCAACGGAGATAGTGAAACTCTGTCTCTACATAAAAATAAAAAGGGTGGCGCCGGCTCAACATGCCAGAGGTGGCACGTTCAAACCCAGCCCCAACCAAAAACTGCAAATAAATAAATACATACATACATACATACATAAAAATAGAAAAATCTAGCCTGGCATTGTGGCAGGCACCTGTAGTCCCAGCTACTTGGGAGACTGAGGCAAAATGATCATTTGAGCAGAAGAGTCTGAGGTTGTTGTGAGCTATGCTGCCACAGCACTCTACTCAGAGTGACAAAGTAAGATTCTGTCTCAATAAAAAAAGAAAAGGAAAGACTTGGCACGGTGCCACAGCTCAGTGATTAGGGGCCACACACACTGGGGCTGGCAGGTTCAAACCTAGCCCAGGTTTCCTAACAACAATAACAACTACAACAAAAATATAGCCGGGCTGGGTGGCACCTGTGGCTCAAAGGAGTAGGGCGCCTGCCCATATGCTAGAGGTGGCGGGTTCAAACCCAGCCCTGGTAAAAAAAAAAAACAGCAAAAAATATATATATATACCTAGGCGTTGTGGCGAGCACCTGTAGTCCCAGTTACTCAGGAGGCTGAGGCAAGAGATTTGCTTAAGTTCAAGAGTTTGAGATTGCTGTGAGCTGTGACAGCACCACATTCTACAGAGGGTGACATAGTGAGACTGTCTCAAAAAAAAAAAAGACTATTGCTTGAGAACAGGTGGACAACATGTACCTGGATGAGAGGGCAAACTCAGGGACAAGAGAACACTGGACAGTTCTATTGGGCCTGGTTTGGACATAGATAAGATGCCTTTCACACCCCCACATGGAGCATCAAGTATTTCAAAAGAGGTCACAGGCTCTGGAAAACTTCCAATCAAACATGGGAGTTGAACCACAGGACTGGAGGAGCTGCAGAGGGACCATGTACAAAAGAATGAACAAGTGGCGCCGTGCCTATTGCTCAGTGAGTGTGCCTGTGGCTGGCCACATATGCCAAGGGTGGCAGGTTCAAGCCTGGCCTCAGCCAAACTGCAACAAAAAACGGCCGGATACCTGTGGTTCCAGCTAAACTTAAGAGGCTGAGGCAACTGAGAGCAATAAAGTGAGACTTTGTCTCTACCCAAAAAAAAAAAAAAAAGGAACAAGTGTGGGGAAAGTATGTACTATGAGCCAAGATGTGAATTTCAAACTTCAGGGAAGCCAGATGATGGTAAGTGCCACTTATTAAGTGCTAACGACAAAGTAACATTCCAACAGCTTTCCCCACATCATCTCATTCATCCACACAACAACCCTAAGAAGTAAACCTATTTTTAAATTACTCCTGTTAGCACTAAAGCACAGAGAAGTAACTCCCTCAAGGTCACACAGCAATGAAGTGATTGCAATGAAACTTGAACCCAGGGGCAGCGCCGGTGGCTCAAAGGAGTAGGATGCTGGCCCCATATGCTGGAGGTGGCAGGTTCAAACACAGCCCTGGCCAAAAACTGCAAAAAAAAAATTTGAACCCAGGCAATCTGTCTCTTCTTTTTTTTGTTTTTTGTTTTTTTTTTTTTTGAGACAGACCCTCAAGCTGTCGCCCTGGATAGAGTGCCATAGCATCACAGCTCACAGCAACCTCCTCCAACTCCTGGGCTCAAGGGAGTCTCCTGCCTCCACCTCCCAAGTAGCTGGGATTACAGGCACCCACCACAACATCTGGCTATTTTTTGGTTGTAGGCATTGTTTGGCAGCCCGGGCTGGATTCAAACCCACCAGCTTAGGTGTATGTGGCTGGCGCCTTAGCTGCTTGAGCCAGAGGCACTGAGCCCTCTTAATTTGTTTCGCAGGCTGGTCACAAACTCAGTCCTTTTTGTTTCACACAGAGTCTCACTCTATTGCCTGGATTAGAGTGCCATGGTATCAAGCCTAACTCAAAGCAAACTCAAACTACTGAGTTCAAGGAATCCTCCTGCCTCAGTCTCCCAAGTAGCTGGGAATATAGGCAGGCGCCACAGTGCCTGGCTAATTTTTCTACTTTTTTTTTTGAGACAGAGTCTCAGTATGTTGCCCAGGGTAGAGTGCTGTAGCATCACAGCTCACAGCAACCTCAAACTGTTTTTGTTTTTGTTTTTTTTTTTTTTTTGAGACAGAGCCTCAAGCTGTCCCCCTGGGTAGAGTGCCCTGCTTTACAGAAAAAAAAAAGACTATTGCTTGAGAACAGGTGGACAACATGTACCTGGATGAGAGGGCAAACTCAGGGACAAGAGAACACTGGACAGTTCTATTGGGCCTGGTTTGGACATAGATAAGATGCCTTTCACACCCCCACATGGAGCATCAAGTATTTCAAAAGAGGTCACAGGCTCTGGAAAACTTCCAATCAAACATGGGAGTTGAACCACAGGACTGGAGGAGCTGCAGAGGGACCATGTACAAAAGAATGAACAAGTGGCGCCGTGCCTATTGCTCAGTGAGTGTGCCTGTGGCTGGCCACATATGCCAAGGGTGGCAGGTTCAAGCCTGGCCTCAGCCAAACTGCAACAAAAAACGGCCGGATACCTGTGGTTCCAGCTAAACTTAAGAGGCTGAGGCAACTGAGAGCAATAAAGTGAGACTTTGTCTCTACCCAAAAAAAAAAAAAAA